AAAAAGGTGAAAGGAGGGCCTTCAAGACAAATTATACTTCAGAGTTTTGTCTCCTTCTGGAAACTGTTACCTCTATTCAGTTTGTGGAGGTCAGGTGACCAGAAGTGATGATATTCTCAAGCCACAAGGACCCAGGTTTCCCCCAGAACCTAGCCAAGGGCCAACAACAGGAGACAAACAACAAACGACAAGCTTCAGTATCCCACTAGACTAGAGCCTTATCCATCTCTGGACCAGCGGAGAGGAAGAGGAAACCATCAGCCTGTGAGGTGAGCCACCTCCATCCTGGCAATCAGCGACAGATGTGGAAACCAGATGACCTTCACATCCGGACACCAGGGAGGCTGACCATCCCCTCAGCTCCCCACCTAGCACACTGTCTGGGATCAGTCATTTCCCTTTAAGATCCAATTGGACGCAAAATTTAAGTAGTATAACAACTAAATCATTTTACAAAATTTAAGTAGTATAACAACTAAATCATTTTACAAAGAACTGGATTTATAGGAATTTTGCACTTAAAACAAGCAGAACTTGTCATTATCTTTAGAAAGACTTGGTAGTTCCTGTTGTATACTTTAAAAAATAAAATGAAATAATTGACAAAAATTCCTGTTTCCAGATCATTAAACTTAGATATGAGAAAGTTATCAAGATCAGGAAGTTTATGCTACAAACCCACTGTTAATCCTCCACCTGCCCAGAAAGCACTCCTGCTTCTCTATTCTTCACCCAAAGGCCTCCCTCAACTGGAGTGGTGTTGAGTGTTAATATCACACCAGATCTCCCTATGCCTTCAAGGAAATTCAGGCTAAAATAACCTCTAGTCCAGTTTTATGTAGTACCTTTAAATTATCATTTGTCATTTTCTAAATACATTCAGGGGTTAAAAATCTGAACAGTACAAAGGGGTAGAGTGTAAATAACTCCTTCTCCCTCCCGCCTTCTCTTGACCTCTGGTCCCCCAAGTCACGTTCATAAAAGTACTACATTTCATCATCTGTATAGGAACTATTTTTTAAGCTTCAAGAGGAAGGCCAAATCCCTAGTAACTCAGGATCTAACAAGCAAGCCCATTTTCACTCTATTCGTGCTTCATTATTTTGTAGACTTTGGGCCTTTGTTCTTCCTGGACCAGGAGTCTTCTTCATGACTAAATGATTGAGAAAAGCATTGTTTCTGGTGGCTCACAGAAGGCCCGAGAGACCTTAAAATCCCAGCCTCAGGCAACTTAAACCTTCTATGTTTTTAAAATCAGATTGGTCATGGGTTTGCTACAACAGGGCATTAGCAATCATGCATGTGGTAACTAAATCCCCATTTAGAGCAAATAGAGTGATCACGCTAGGAAGGCTTGGTGACTGGCACCATCACCTCAGTTAAATATTAGCAGTGTTTGGGCTCAGCATCTTCTCCCAGCCTCCGACTCTGTTCTTTCTGTTTAACTCTGGACCCTTCATTCATATGAAATGGTAAGCAAGAACTTGGGCTTTGAAGGCAGGCAGACTTGAATTGAAATTCTGGTTCTGTCAATAATTAGCTGTGGCACCTTTCCACCAAGTCGCTTAAGCTCACTAAGCCTCAGTTTTCTTTATTGTAAAATGAAAATAACAAAAATGACTCTTTCATTGGGTCATGAAGACGGTTCAATGGTATAATGTTTGAAAAGTATTGCATACAATGCCTTTCAGTAGAACCAGCTTCATGATCTGTAGGACCCAATGCAAAATGGAAAGTTATTCAGAAACTATTAAGGATTGCAAGATAGAGACAGCAGAGCATAAACCAAGTGCAGGGGCCTGTGGGGCTGCACAGGCGGAAGGCTCACGAAGCCAGCCCTCCCTTTCAGGTAATAAATACTCAATAGATGGTAGCCATTGTCATATCTTGCCACTTCCCTAATTTATATCTGTGTCTTACCCTCCCTGCAGGCTCTCCTATCCCTATATAATGCCCAATCCACTCAACTTGAAGAGTTTACTGGGTCATTCCAAACATAGGCACTGTGCCTCATAAGTAGCCTGCACGTAACAGGGAAAATAATTGACCAAAATGGGGGGAATCTAAAATAGAAAATGATGTTACCATAAGCGCATGCCAGATGCGCTCCCACCGTAGGGCCTTTGCTCTGCTTTTCATCCTACTGAAATAACTTTCTCCCCCTTCAAGCCTTTGTTCAGATCCCCTTGTATCTGAAGCTTATTCTGATTGCTCAATTCAATATCAAATTTTGCCCTTCCTCCATCTCCCACCCCTGTTCTACTTTTTCCATAGCACGTATATTGTCTAATGTGCTATTTCACTGACCTTCACTTGTTTATCTTTCCTTACACACACACACACACACACACACACACACACACACAGGAATGTGAGCTTTTCAAGATCAGGAATTTTTTGCCTCCTTTTATTCACTGATGTATCCAAAACTGTTTAGAACAGAAGACATTCAATAACTGTTCATTAAAAAAAAAACCACAAGTAAACCTTTGAATGAATGCATAACCAGGCCATCCTTTTTCTACCTGGAGGTCAGTCCATTCCACATTACAGACAAATGGCCGTAATAACCAGCTCTGCAACTGGATACCCAACAGAGTTCAAGAAACAGATGGGGAGTTATCTATTTTCAAATCTCCGCCAAAGTCCCCTTAGTTTAGAAGGAATATAATCCAGTCCTCTGTGCTAGTAAATCCAACACCTCTTTCAACACTAATTCATATACATGGTTTGTTGCCAACGACTTGAGGCAATCATGGGAGGCATTTTATATGAGTGAGCTCTCCAGAAGAGAGATGTGTCCTCAAGTGGTGAACATCAAGTCATTTAAAAAATAAAATCAGAAGAAAAACAATCACACATCACTGCTTCATAACAATGAATAGGAAAACTGAGCCCTTAATACCAAAAGGAATGTAAGGGCCTCTGTCCCTGAAATAGTGCATGAATATGTTAGCGCCAGTCTAAGCTGTCAGGAGTGAATGGTACAGTCACAGGGAGCATCTCAAAACCTGGCCTGTGATCTCACACTTGGAAGCCACAGGGCCCAAGAAAGGAAATATGGAGGCCCGTGCATAATTCATCCCACCAGCTCGAGGCAATCTCGAAGCTGTGACATTATAGCTGCTGGATGAGACATTTTTCAGTGTAAGAACAAAAGAGAAGAGCTGCCCTCCGCAAATGGTTAAAATGCAGCCCATGCCAGGAGAAACATCTGGAGCATCCAATCATCAGGAGATTTTTGAGGGCTAACGTGCTCGAAGTTCTGTACTGATAACAGGAAGCACATCTGGGCCCCCAATCCAAATGCGCCCACGCTGTCTCCTAGGGACAGGCTAGGCAGACCACACCACACATCTGGCTTGTGAGCGACCATTCCTTCTCAGCCCTGCACTCTGCATTTTTTAACAAGTCATCCTCAGCCACCACTGATGCCTTGGTGGGAATCATAGGGAGTCCTCGTCCCTTTTCCCAAAATAATGTCAGGCAGAGGCAAAGGCCAAAGAGGTGGAGCCTGCAGGCCATTTTGCAAAAGTTTCAAATATCCTGGCGCTGACCCCATTAAAAGAATCACGAAGGGGAAATAACCAAGCCTCTCCTTTTCTCATTAGTGTTGTTTTCTCTCCCTTTCTCCCTCTCTTTCCCTCCTTTTACCTCTCCCCTGTCTACTACAAACTTCTGTGTTTATAAAAAAAACAAAGATCTCACAAAAAGTCCCAGTGTCGGCTGCTAAAAACAAAATTTCATTTTTCAAATTTAATACCAAGAAATTGAGATTGAAAACTTTCAAAGAAATGTCTTTGTTCTGAGACAGCGTACTCCCCAAAGGGGTCTCTGTGAGGCAGGACCTGGTGCGCTGTCCCAGCTTCTCCAAAGCCTTTCTGAAATATGCCACTGCCTCACACTTTCCACACTCCTCCGCCGATCTTTCCTCTGAAGAGGGAGGAAGCAGAGTTCTTGGCTGTCCCGTGAAAGGAGCCAAATAAAGCAATCTTCCTCCAATGCCAGGGGCCTTTCCAACACACACACACACACACACACACACACACACACACACACACACGTGCACTTGTTGAAATATTAATAAGTAAAGAAAAGAGAGACTACGACACTCAAGGAAAGAAAACACTACTTTATTTTGTCTAGATTTTAAAAGCCTTCCCACAAAAATCTAACTAAAACAGGGGCACATTATCCTCAAAACGCCTTACCCTTCTCCGGCTTTACAATACTGACGATAATAGGAAATGATCCTGCAGATGCGAAAAGGCCCGGGGGAGTGGTACAAATTGCTAAGGCAACAGGGTCATCGCTACTATTGAAAGTTTAAAAGGTCCGGCTGCCCACCTTTATCTGTTCAGATAAAAAACAACAACCACGCCTCTCCCCAGATCTCTCCGTTCTGGGCAAGCCTCTTCCCAAATATGTCCATCCCAGCGCCCTGTCCCCAGCTGTTCCTCCGATGCCAACACTCCCCCTCCTCGGCCTCCCGCCCGGCCCCGCCGCGTCCTCACCGTGGGGTACGTGAGAGCCTCGGGGTCCCCCGGCTCTGACAGCTCGCTCAGCTTGCGGTCCCACTGCAGGGCGCTCTGCTCCCCGCTTTCCAGCACCTCCATGGTGGTCCGAGGCGCGCGGGGCCGGGGATGCTGAGCGCAGGAGGGCGCTAGCTGCGGCGCCGCGGAGGGCGATCCGGCTCCGCGCGTGAGTGCGTGTGCGCGCGTGTGCGTGGAGCTTGTGCACTGAGGAAGGAAACGTTCGCTCCCCCGCCGGAGGGATCGGCCCAGGGCTCCCGTCCCGGGTGCTCGGAGACCTGAGAACCCCCGGGGGAGACAGGCAGTCGAGGGACCGGGCCGAAGGCTGCAGGGGTTAAAGCTGCGTGTACATCCACAGTGAAGGTAGGAGAACGGCTCTCGCCGCGAGAAAAACCCCTCCTCGGTGAGCCCACTTCCCACTACCGCTCCAGACGCAAACTTTGAGTCTCCCCGGAGCTCCTCAGCCCGACTCCCGGACCCACCCACGACTCCACCTCCGTCCAGGGCAGTGACCAATAAGATACGCATCTCGCCTTCCCTGCCCAATCAGAAGTCTTCTTCTCCGTCCGCCCCGCCCCCAAAGGCTGGGGCCGCAGACAGTCTAGGCCCCGGCTTTGGAATGTGGGCGGGCTGTGCCATGGACGTCATCGGGGAAACCCCTCCCGCCGGAAAGCAGGCGGCAGCAGCTGTCTGCGGAGCGAACCAATGGAGTGCTCGAGTCGGTGATGGCCTGGTGTTGGGGCCAATGAAAATAGGGCTTCTCGGAGGGCCAGCCAATCGAATAGCGACAAGAATACCTTTTTATAAAAGGAGGAGGATGAGCTCAGGCTCCCGGTGGATACTCAAGAACTTAGCACACCGCATCGAGAGGAAAAGGGAGTGCTCTGCGGGAAGATTTGTATATTGTCCTATTTTCAAGTAAATTCGCTCATTTGAGTGTTTCAGGATTTTTAAAAAATGAATTACGTATTATACGTAAGTATAAAAATTCTTCACTTACACATGAATTCGTATTAACACAATTCTACCAAATTGTCATTGCTTATTCTTCACATTTCGCCCTTTTTGTTATGCATTGCTGCTGACATGTTTTTATGGGCTTCACTTACTATATTTTCTCTTTCATTCACTCAAGATACTATTGACCAGAGGCAGTGGATTGCTTTTCCAGGTCCTAGAGCAGTGAGCTAAAGGCCTTTAATTCATAGAGCTTTTGTCTCAGTGGAGGAATCAGGCAATAAACAGATTTTTAAAATAGCCTGGCTGGTCGCTCAGTGGTTAGAGCATGGCAGGTCCCATTCCTGGTCAAGGGCACTTACCTCCCCTGCCCTGGTCCGGCCTTTGTGGGAGGCAACCAATCAATGGGTCTCTCTCACCTCGATGTATCTCTCTTTCTATTTCTCTCTCTCTCTTTCTCTCTCTCTCTCTTCCTTTCCTATTCCCTCCCTTCCACTCTCTCTAATGGTTGAGCATCTACCTGTGAACCAGGAGGTCACGGTTTGATTGCCTATCCGGTCAGGGTACATGCCTGGGTTGCAGGCTCTGTCCCCATTAGGGGACTCAATAATTCTCTCTTGTCAGTAAAAATATATTTAAAAATAAGTAAATAATTATCAAAGTGAAAAAATACCCTCAGGTGAGGATTAAAAAAGAAAAAGAAAAGGCATAATATAATTTCAGAAAGTGGTAACTACCATGAAGAAAAATAAAAGCAAGGTAAGAGGAAGGGGCAGGTCTATGCTATGATAGATAGCAGTCAAGTCCACTGGAACAGGGGACTGAATGAAATGAGGTTTGGGGAGGAACTGGTGTTCTGCTGACCTGGAGGCCAGTGTGGCTGCAGCGGTATGTGCCCAGCAGTGAGTGATGAGAGAGGAGACCTGAGAGACAGGTTGAAGCCAGACCACAAGTCCTGCCTAGATTAGGAAAGAGCCTTTTCTAAAGTATTTACCCCAAGGTTCTGATTTTTCTTCCCCCATTTAGACTCCTTCTCTTAAGAAAATACAGTCCTTGAATACACAGTTTGCTCCTTTGAAATATAAAGGAGCTTTGGCCAATTGCCTCTAGAAGTTCCTTACAATGGCACACCCAGGTATTAGATACTACTTTGTCCCCTTAGCAAGTGTTGTTTGGTAGATGGGTCAGTCAAATGTATTGGAACTGTTGTTTTCAAGAAGCCATTTATCATGGCAACTATTTCATTTGTCTCGTCCTATCTCCTGGGTCTTTTGAGAACATTGTAATGCTTAAGTGGAAATTCCACTCTATGGTCATTCACCTTCCTTGTATGATAGTTTCCTCATCCTCTTCTTTGTCCTTGGTTTTTATTTTATAATCTTCGCCCTCCTGCATCATATTCTTTTCATAGATCATCTTTTCAATTTTTAAAGACCTTTTCCACTTTTTGTAGCTAGCATAGCACAATACAAACGTTGGGTGGTGGGCACACGGTGCAATATACAGATCTTATAACAAAGAAACCCACACCTGAAACCTGTATGTTCATGTTGACCAATGTCACCCCAATAAATTTAATTTAAAAAAAAACACTAAATATGTGCTGGTGAGGTAAGAAAATGTACACCCTCCTTAATATTGGATATAAACATTTATCTGCCACACTTTTCTGATTTTGAAAGCTGGACCCTGGTTATGCTCCTCCACATGGTAGGCAGCTTCTAAGATGGCACCAATGATCCTGCCCCCTGGTGTTTGTGCCCTGTTAATACTCACCTTGAATGTGGGCTGGACCTGGGTTCTTCTACCAGACAGAATATGGCAGAAATGATGGGTTGTCAAAAGAATTCTGGCTTCTGTTACTAGAATAAAGGGAACCATTTGCCTGGGCGCATCAAAGCCCAATAAGACACAAACAGGAGTTTGTAACCAAGAAAGTAAGGATTTATTAAAAGATGGCACCATGCTCAGAGTCACAGATAGCTCATGCTCAAAGATCTGGCTCTGGGATGGCCTCAAGAAGATGGGTTACATAGGGGAAAAATCATTAATCCCAGTGACTAAGAGAGTTAGGGATCAAGGTCAGGATTGTGATCTTCACTGATTGGTCAGTACTAGAATAGGGAGTAGTTGATCATTGCATCTGGTCCTGACATCAGGTTGCTTCATCTGGCTTCATAAGGATGTGGTTGGACTGGGGCGGTGGGGGCTTGCCCGGGGTGGGAATGGCTGGGGACTGGAGGTCATTGGGGAAAAAGGAGACATATGTAAAACTTTAGACAATACATTTTTTTAAAAAAGGATGTGGTCAGTGGGGTCAATCTGGAGCTGAAACACAACTGAGGCTTAGGTGTTATCTCTGATTTGACTGAATCTCTTTCTCTGTGGTCAACTATTGTATGCTGACCAGAACCTCATTGTCCTGAGGGCTTAATGACTAAGCAAGGGAGAGGGAGTTGGTGAGTCAGGGAACTGGGTGAGGCCAGTTTGAGTCAAAGGGAACAAAAAATCAAAATAAAAGGTCACATTAAAGAAAATAAGGTTTCTGTGCAGTTACACTCCTGACTTGCTTATTGTCTTCCTCTCTTCGTTGCTTGCTCAGAGGGAAGCAGGCTGCCTGCTGTGAGTGACCCCACAGAGAGGCCTACATAGCAAGAAACTAAGGAAGGTGTCCAGCCAATAGCCAGCAAGGAACTGAGGCCCTCAGTCCAACAACCCAGAAGCACCTGATTCCTACTAATAACCGCATATGGAAGCAGACCAGCCCCAGATCACTGCAACCTTCTAAGTGAAACTAAACCAGAGAACTCAGCGAAGTCACCCAGATTTCTGACCTATAAAAACTAAAGGTAATAAATGTATGTTGATTTAAGCTACTAGATCTTTCCTTCATAAAATAAATACTGTAATAATCGGTACCCTAAATGTTTAATTAAATTTATCTGTACTCTAATAATAATGTCACATACCCTAACGGGGAGTTTTTTTCAACCTCCTTTGTTTCATATGTCCTTCTCCCATTCACTGTATACAAGACTTATCTCACTAGCTCATGTCCTATTCTACATCTTGAGTTAAGAGTTTGTCCCTTTCCCTCTAATTTTTGGGACTTAGCAAAAGGATGTTAGAGAAGCTGGAAAGGGAGTTTTTTAGAGAGAGAAAGGAAGAGGGAGAAAGAGAAATACCAATGTGAGAGGGAAACATGGATTGGCTGTCTCCTGTGTGCCCCCTCCCGGGATCAAGCCTGCAACCCAGGCACATGCCCTAACCTAGAATCGAACTGGCAACCTTTCAGTGCAACGGAAGACATCCAACCAACTGAGCCATACCTGCCAGGACCTTAATTTCTCTATTTGAAAATATTTTATTAGTGTATAGAAAAGCAACAGATTTTTGTATTTTGATTTTGAATTCTGCAACTGTACTGAGTTCATTACAATTTCTAGCAACCTTTCATGGAGTTTTTAGGGTTTTCTATATATAATATCATCTCATCTGCAAATAGCAAATGTTTTATATCTTCCTTGCTTATCTGGATGTCTTTCATTTCTTTTCCATGTACCTTTTGCTCTGGCTAGGGCTTTCAAGACTGTGTTGAATAAAAGTGGTGAGAATAGGCATCCTTGTCTTATTCCTGATCTTAAAGGAAAAGCTTTCAACATTTCACTGAGTATGTTAGCCATGGGCTTGTCATATATGGCCTTTATTATATTGAGATATGTTTCCTCTGTGCTCACTTTGCTGACAGTTTTTATTATAAATGTATGTTTAATTTTGTCAAATGATTTTTGTTCATCAAGTCATCTACAGTGAGCATATGATTGCTATCTTCCTTTTGTTAATGTGATGCATCACACTGATTGATTTGTGGATGTGGAACCAATGTTGCATCCCTGGAATAAATCCCATTTGATCATGGTGTATGAGCCTTTTAATCTATTGATGAATTTAGTTTGCTAAAATGTTGTTGAGGATTTTTGCATCTATACATAAGGGATATTGGCCTGTCCTTTTATTTTTATTTTATTTTCTCTCTTTTTGGCGAGAGAGAGAGAGAGAGAGAGAGAGAGAGAGAGAGAGAGAGAGGTGTCAATTTGTTGTTCCACTTATATAATTATGCATTCATTGGTTGGTTCTCCTATGTGCCCTGACGGGGCATCAAACCCCACAACTGTGGTGTATCAGGATGATGTGCTAACCAACTGAGCCACCAGGCCAGGGCTTATTTTCTTTTCTTGTGGATTCCTTGTTTGGTTTTAGTATCAGGGTAATGCTGGCCGGATAAAATGATTTTGGAAGAGTTCCCTCCTTTCCTGTAGTTTGGAAGAGTTTGAGAAGAATTTGGTACTAATTCTTATTTAAATGTTTGGTAGAATTCACCTGTGAAGCCATCTAGTCCTTGACTTTTATTAGGAGATTTTTAATTACTGATTCAATCTCCTCATTAGTGATCAGTCCTTTCAGATTTTCTTTGTCATGATTCAATCTTGGTAGGTTGTGTGTTTCTAGATATTTATTTCTTCTAGGTTGTCCAGTTTATTGGCATATAATTATTTATAGTAGTCTCTTATGATCTTTTGTATTTCTGTGGTATCAGTTGTAACATCTCTGCTTTCATTTCTGATTCTATTTAGTTAGCCCTCACTTTCTTGGTGAGTCTAGATAGAGGCCTAACAATTTTGCTCATTTAAAAACAAAAAACAAACAAACAAACAAAAACCCAGCTCTTAGTTTCATTGATTTTTTTTCTATTATCTTTTAATCTTTATTTTATTTATTTCTGTTCTGATATTTTTTATTTCCTTCTTCCTACTAACTTTGGGTTTTGTTTGTTATTGTTTTTCCTTTCCCTTAAGGTGCAAAGTTAGCTTATTTAGTAGAAATCTTTGTTTGTTGGTAGGCATTTATCACCATGAACTTCCCTTTTATACCTGCTTTTGCTGCATTCCGTAAATTTTGTATGTTTTAGTTCCATTTTCATTTGACTCAAGGTATTTTTTTTTATTTCTCTTTTGATTTATTCTTTGACTGTTAGTTCAGTAGCATGTTGTTTAATCTCCACATATATCTGAATTTTCCAGTTTTCCATTTATAATTAATTTCTAGTTTCATAACATTGTGATCATAAAAGATGCTTGATGATGATTTCAAACTTCTTAAGGATATTAAGACTGTGTGGTCTAACATATGGTCTGTCCTGGAGAATGTTTCATGTGTGCTTTTGGGTGGAATGCTTTGTATATGTCTGTTAAATCTCTCTGATCCAATGTGCAGTCTAAGGTCAGCATTTCCATATCGGTTTTCTGTCTGAATTGTCTATCCATTGATAGAAGTAGGATATTAAAGCCCTAGGGTATCCACTAACAAATTATTTTAGTGATAGTTTGTCTTACTACTTTTACTTTTACACTTCATACTATGTTTATAAAACAGTAGATTACTCTGAATTTTACTATATATTTACCTTTACCAATGAGGTTTATATTTCAGATTTTTCTGTTACTAATTTTTCTCTCCCATTTCAGCTTAAAGAAGTCCCTTTAGTATTTCTTGTAAGCCTGATCTGTGATTGGTGTCCATAAAAAGAGAGGAGAATGCCATATGAAGACATAAAAGCTCCTGAGAGGAGGAAGCCATGTGATGATGGAGGCGGAGATAAGATAGATGTAGCTGTAATCCAAGGAAATTCAGTATGGACAGTCACTGCCGGGAGCTAAGAACAGACAAGGAAGGAGGCTACCTGTGGCCTCAGGAAAAGCATAACCTTGCTGACACCTTGATTTCAGACCTCTGGCCACCAGAACTGTGAGACAATTTCTGCTGTTTGAAGCCACCCAGTTGTGGTACTCTGTTCTGTCAGCCCTAGGAAACTAAGAGTTAGGCATCTGTTATGTGATGGCATCCTCTCTTGCCTGCCCCTCCTCTTCACATAATTCTCACCATTCAGTAGTAAACTGACTGCTGTCCAGTGTCACACATATTCTCTTCCCCACAATTTCACTTGGGAAGACCAAGTCTTTGAGGCTTCTGTCATATATTGGTGTCAGGATACAGCTCTAAGCATGCTTTTGCTTATTATTTTTCACAGCTTTTTCACAGTGGCTTAGGCAGATTTTTCCTTTCAGCAACAAAGGCGATAAGCTTGCTACTTTCTTCAGTTTATTGGACTGACTCCCCAAGAAAGATTCCAGTTGAGAGAGGAGAACCAAGATGATCATATCTTTCTACCACCAACTTCAATTGCCTTGGCTGCTGTGATATTCACTGGCTAGGCTTTGAGGTTAAAGTTAATCTCCAACTCCAGGAAAGCCTGACAAAGAGCCCGAGTGGAATGCATCTGACTTTCCACCGCTGGGTTCCGCCTCTTCATACTTGAACTGAAGGTGGCCTTTTCCTCCTAGGAAAAAGGTGAGTGGCAAGACTACTTCTTTCTTTCAGAGAGTTTCAGACCTGAAAAATGTGGATACAGTATGTCTGGAATTCACCAGGTACTTAACACATCCTTACAGCTAAATTATAGGACATAAAAAGGGAAAATTCAATAGGTTAATATTTATTGAATATTTACAGTCAAATTGAAAGCATGCAGACACATGTGTCATGCCATTTTGAAAGGTGGATTATGTTTTTATGGTGTGGGAATCTATCAATTATATCTAAATTCTGGATATAATTTGTCTCAATCATTATTATAAAGGTTTAGAAAATATTAGAGCAGATTTGTAAATAGATTGGCACATGGAAAGATAGAAAATAATATTACCAAAAAAAATCCGAAAAATATCTTTAAAAAAATGTTTAAATGTGTTTCTATTGATTTTTTTAGAGAGAGAGGAAGGGTGAAGGATAGAGAGAACAGGGATCAGCTGCCTCCTGCACGCCCCCTACTGGGGATCTAGCACATAACCCGGGCATGTGCCCTGACCAGGAATGGAACTGTTGACCTCTTGGTTCATGAGTCAACCTTCAACCACTGAGCCACACAGGCCAGATGGCAACAAAAGAGAACCCTGAACTAACCTCCTTCTATCAACAGACCAAATCTACAGCTACGTACAGAACAACCTCCTCTGAAGGAAACCCATAAACTAGCTGAGTGACTGTGCATTGGGTGAACGACAAAATATCCACATCAAAACACGTAGGAGAGGCCTACACACAATCTCACCACACCTGGCATAGTGACCCACAGTCAGGAGGAACTCACAATACCTTGCTTCTCCCTGAGGAACAAAGGGATTGAATCCCATACCTGAACCCCAGTTCTTAAGAGCTGAACCTGAGAAATGAAACCCCAAAACATCTAGCTTTGAAAGCCAATGAGACTTGTGTTCACAACACCCACAAGGCTATATTGAACTAAAAAACTTCTTAAAGGACTCATATGGACTCATCTGGCTTCTTCCCACCCCGCCCCAGTGCAGTGAAGAGGCAGTCCATGAAATGAATTCAGTCATTCTGTGAAATAGGTCTGTTTGCTTCTCTTAAAGCTTTGAAGTGAGAGGCAGGCAACTAATTTAACACACATCTAGGATCCTACTGAAATTCACTCACAGACAGACACCAGCAGGTGCTATCTTCACACTCTCCCTCTGCTTCACTCCAGTATCTTCTGGAAAGGAGGTTGTGAACTTAACTCAAATTTTTGTGGCTGCCACCCAGAGATACCTCATGAGCACCTGGCTCTGGTGGCCCATGGGGCTTATGTCCGTGGGTACCACAGGATGGTACTAAATGGAGAAAGAGTCCCTAACCAGCCACACTCCCCTTTCCTGCCTCCAGCACAGTGCAGACAACAGACTAAAACACATACCCCATCTTTCTGTGAAAGAGGCTTACTACTTACCTTCATAGCTGTGTCCTGAGTCACAGGCTT